ATTGTAAATTTTGGTCAATGACATGAGACAAAGTATATGTGAACTGCTGTACGAAAAGTGAATTTACTCTGTAAATCTTCACCCAAATCAAAATAAAATTAAAAAAAAAAAAGCTGAATTCTCAGAAACAAAGAATAAGCCAAAGAAATGCTTTTACTCATAAATAATATGTACAGCATTTCATATAAAAGCACTAACACATATTTAGGGCTAAATATGTACTATGTAAAAGCTTTCAGTGTAAAAGCAGAACAATTAAAGAAATTTTAAATTTTTAAAAATAACGATGTGCATAAAATCAAGGTCGTGTTTATATACTTTTACACCTAAGGATTACAAACACTACAGCTTTTCTGATAATTTAGTATTTTCTAGTCCTTAGTCTGTCACTAACTTAACTAGTTAAGAATAGAACATTTGTTTTAAATATTTATTTCTATTAAGCTCTTAATTACCTACCTCAAAGTTTTGTAGCCAGGTATTCAAAAGAGCATATATACCATTACTCTCAATCATGCAAAATTATTTGTAAACCTGTATTTCTATAGCAATAGTACCAAAAATTTCATCAAAATCATAAAACTTTTATGTCTACTCTTATGCTATTGTTAGGTACTGTCAAGTTGGTTTCAACTCATAGTTGACCCTATGTATAACACAATGTAACAGTGCCTGATCCTGCACCATCCTCATAATCATTGCCAAGTTTAACACAATGTTGTAGCCACAGTGTCAATTCATCTCATTGGGGGTCTTCTTTTTCACTGCATGAGCACAATTACGCATTCTAGAATTCCCATTCTTCATATTGTCATCTATAATCTGTTATGATCTACACAGTAAAATGTCTTTGGATAGTCAATAAAACACAGTTAAACTTCTGGTAGTCTGCTTTCAGTCAAGATCCACCTGACATCAGCAATGATATCCCTCATTTCACATCCTCTTCTGAGTCTCACTTGATTTTTGGCAGTTCCTTGTCAAATACTGCTGCAACCATTTGGAATTATCTTCAGCAAAACTTTACTTATGTGTGATATTAATGATACTGTTAGATAAACTCTGCCCTTTTTTTTTTTTTTTTTAATTACCTTCCTTTGGAATAGGTACAAATATGGATCTTTTCCACTCAGTCGGCCAGGTAGCTGTCCTCCAAATTTCTTATAACAGGTAAGTGAGCACTTCCAGTGTTCCATCCAGTTGTTGAAACATCTCAACTGGTATTCCATCAATTCCTGGAACCTTATTTTTTACCAATGCTTTTAATGTAGCTTGGACTTCTTCCTTCAATACCATTGGTTCTTGATCATATGCCACCTCCTGAAATGGCTGAACAACAATGAAAGAAATTTTAAATTTTTAAAAAATAACCATGTGCATAAATTCAAGGTTGTGTTTATACAGTGACCCTATTTATTCCTTCATCTTCTTTTGATGTTTCCCGCATTGTTCAGTATTTTGCCATAGAATCTTTTAATATTGTAACTCAAGG